CATAATTTTTTTTTTTTTAGTTGCTTTTGTCATTACTTGATTATTTTGCTTACTGTTAAAACATGGTTTTAGTTTTGTAAATTTAATATGATGTAAAATTTACTATATTGATCATTAGTCAACATTTAGAGAGAAGCTGAATCTTAATTAAGCAATGCTGGAAATTAACTTTTAATTAAGGTAAAAATAATTTTGTTTATTGGTAGCATAATAAAACCAGTTACTGTTATTTATTGCATGTCTTTTTTACTTTTTTTAACATGCTGTTTTTGAAACACTTCTCTCCCTCTCTTAGATGAGACTTTAATGACAGTTAATACAGGGAGAATTGATAAAACTCATGTAATTACTAAGCTCTTGCGTATTTTTTAATACTACAATTGATATTGACCATTTATAATATATATTTTATGAGTTGCTTGCTATTTAAAGATATAATTCTTTAAATTGTTTAACTATAATTGTCCCTTGGTTGTTCAAATATTGTAATAAATAAAATCTTTTTAGTTTCAAGTATTTTACTTTAGGTAACGTCTATATATTACATATCGCGAAATTAAACTTATAGACAAAAGACATATCTCTAAAACGGTGTTTCTCTCATAGTCAACTATATGTTGCATGTTCAAGAACTAGAGCATTTAATAGTTTGTTTTTCAAAACTGATAAACATCCTATTCAATGTATGGTAGGTGAAAAGTGTTACACAAATAGTGTTATACTTTCTAATGTTCTTAATTTATAGTCTTTAGATTTTCATATCAAAAATTTACTGTTAAAGGTTGTGAGCACATTTTGTATGTGTAACTTTATTTATTACTAATTTTTTTTTTTCATAGTTTTTGATAAATATGTCATTTAATATTGTTATAAAATGTATTTTCTTCAAGCCTATATTGCTATTATACTATCTGTCCAATTATCTTTAAGAAATTTTTTGTGAACTTTTTATTTTTTTGTAGTTTTTTTAATTTAAATCTTGTTATTCTTTTATTATTGCATAACACTTTTTTATTTACTACGTAAAATATTTAACTTGTAAAAATGTAACAACGTCTTTTTACCGCGGTACTCGACGACAAGACCTTACTGTTTTCTGCGAGTTTCCGTGTTCTTTTTATATATATATTAAATATCTTCACTTGTAATTGTTTATATTTTTTTATTTTAGCTTGTAAATTTTAATGCCAGAAAAAAAGATAAATATAGTTAGCTCTAATTTTAATATGAAAATTAAAATATGAAAGGCAAAATTTTAATTTTGCCTTTCATATTTTAGTTTGTTATTTTCACTGGATTTTATTGTTATGTGTTATTGTTGTGATGTTTTGTGCTGATAGACAGCTTGGCTTACCTTCCCGTTGGCGTCTATTATTAAAAATGAATAATAGGTAGTTTCATTATTGTTGTGATGTTTTGTGCTGATAGACAGCTTGGCTTACCTTCCCGTTGGCGTCTATTATTAAAAATGAATAATAGGTAGTTTCATTATTGTTGTGATGTTTTGTGCTGATAGACAGCTTGGCTTACCTTCCCGTTGGCGTCTATTATTAAAAATGAATAATAGGTAGTTTCATTATTGTTGTGATGTTTTGTGCTGATAGACAGCTTGGCTTACCTTCCCGTTGGCGTCTATTATTAAAAATGAATAATAGGTAGTTTCATTATTGTTGTGATGTTTTATGCTGATAGACAGCTTGGCTTACCTTCCCGTTGGCGTCTATTATTAAAAATGAATAATAGGTAGTTTCATTATTGTTGTGATGTTTTGTGCTGATAGACAGCTTGGCTTACCTTCCCGTTGGCGTCTATTATTAAAAATGAATAATAGGTAGTTTCATTATTGGAACTTACTGCTCTTATTTATTTACTAAAAACCAAGACAACATTTTGCTAAAAGTGCAATTTATATCTTAATTTGTTTTCAGTATTGTTAAACCTTTTGTACTTCAAAACAGATTTTATAGTTACATTTTCGATAAATGTTTATAATAACTGCAATTTCAAAATAAGTAACTATAAATAGGTAAATCGATTTTCAATTTATATGTGGTGTTTTTTTTTTTTTGTAATTATAATATCATTATTCCATTACTTTTTTATTTTAGACTTACGCTATGACGCATTTATAAGATTTATTAAAAAAAAACCTGATTTCCTTTTATTGTAAATTTTTGTTAGTTAAAAAGATATAAATATATGCAATTAGTTATATATTTTTTTTTATATTTTATGCCTAATAATTTGTTGTACGTATCTTAGGGGATCTTTGTAAACGGGGGGTCGTAACTAAAAACCTTAAAAAACATAGAGAATACTGTAGTTTTGCGCATTTGTCAAATATCGATTTACTTATGTTTTATTTACATGTTTAACTAATTAGTTAGTTTAGTCTGCATTTGCAACACTTTTGAGGAAAGAAAGAAAACATTCTTATATATCTTAAATATCTTAAATCGATGTATACAAAAACGTTTTAAGTCACTTAAACTAATTTTTGGAGAAACGAGAAAAAATGTATTAAATCTAAAATTGTTACTTTAATAAGTTCAAAAAAAAATCTTTCAGTTCTCTATTTAACGTGTACGGAAAGGTCTGACTTGAAATGTTTTATTATACAATGTGGAACTGTCTTCAAAGAACATATTTTCATCAAAAAGTCAAATATTAAAAAAAAAAATGACTTATAACGTTTTTGGTATACATTAATTCATATGTAAATCATTGTTTTACATTTTATTATTTTGGTTAAAGGTCTTCATCAAAAACTCTTAATAAAAAAACTCTACTCACCAGGCCTCCATTAAAGCAAGAAGAGGGGAGAAACTCTTTATTAGTGTCAAAATATTTAGGAAAATTAAATTTCGAGTAACAAAAGGAATTTTTAGTAAATGGTAGCAAAATACCGTTTACTAAAAATTAATGAAATAAAGAGGCCAAACAAATATTATAAAAATGGTCTGTGTTGAGCAGATTTAACAAGAACCGGGTCCGGTCAGATTGGTTTTACAAATTTTTATATCTACTTACCTGTTACAATTTTTTATTTTAGGTTCGTCATATGACGCATTAATACAATATAAAAGATCGAAGTTTTCATATTTTTTTAAATTTGTTATACACGTGTTTAATTGTAAATTAATTTTTTTTGTTTTGTTTGAAACGTATTTGTACTCAGCTGAGTACAAATTCTTCCTGAATTAGTTAACTTCATTTCATATCAACCTCAATTTACTATAAGCCAAGACAATATATTTAGCTATATAAATGCAGTTAATTTATATCTCAATTTGATTTTTTATCTTTAATGTTCATAGTTCATAGGCTCCTTGAAGCATTTTATATTTTGCTTTTTAATTTAAATATTTTAAATCTATTGTGATGTCTTCTAAATTAAGCTAAAGTTTACTAAAAGCCAACATTAAATAACGTCATTAAATAACACCGACAATAACTGCTGCATCATGACAGCAACTGAAGTATGATAACAGGTTATCAAAAGCAAGCAAATTGTTTTCCAGTCATTTTTTTTTTTCTTTTTTATGTCTACTTATTTTTTATGCCTACTTAGCTGTTACAATTTTTATTTTAGGTTTGTCATATGACGCAATATAAAAGATCAAAATTAACTTTTTTTTTAAAACGTATTTGTACTCAATTGCTTAGTTATTTATAATAAACTTAGTTATTTTTAATAAATTTATTTAGTTGTGTGCATTTAACGTTTTTAAGATAACAAATTTTCTTTTCTAAAGAAAAATTTATCGAGGGGAAACCAAAAGTTAACAACTCCTGTATAATTTAAGTTAACTTCATATTATTCTTAATAAATAATTAAAGTTCATGTTATAAAAATTATTACAAGAATTTAGTTGATACTTTTGTCAATTTAAAGAATGGTGAAGTGTTATTATTTTGTGTTGAACTTAGGAATGTCGATAAAAATGGTTCTGCCTTACACTGATATGACCTATGTCAGTTGTAAATTACACCAATAATGTGTTAAATAATAATTGGTAAATTATTTTACCTCCTCATAATTTTTTATGTTAATTTTACCGATAGAATAATTTTTTCAACTTAAAGGCGTTTTACTAAAAGGGTATTAGTTAAGAATTCACAACTTTAAATTGTGGAAATCAGCCATTATAAATTAATTATGTAACAGATTGACCATAACCCGTATTACGGGTTATGGTCAGTCTGTTAACAACATATAATAAAAACTTAAGTTTTGTAATAGAAGAACATCCAAAGTTTGGATTTCTTATCGTAAGTGAAGAACATCCAAACTATGGATGTTCTTCTCTTCGTAAGTGAAGAACCTCTTCGTTTCGTAAGTGAAAAACATCCAAAATTTGGATGTTCTTCTCTTCGTAAGTGAAGAACATACAAACTTTGGATGTTCAGAAGAACATCCAAAGTTTGCATCAAAGAGAATTCTCTTACGAAAATTAAGTTTTAATTATGTTGTTGACAACCTGAAATTTCTAGAAACCCTTGATAAAAAAAGATAAACTTAAAATATTTCCTTTGAAAAATATAAAAGTACCAAGAGTGACCTAGATTAGATAAACGCAGCATTTTCGCGGCCCGAACTAAATTTTTTCTTTTTTTATTTTATAAATGAAATAATTCCAATAATTTTCGACGTTACGTTTCAAGAAAACACAGTTTTGAGCGTTAATAAAATCTTTACAAAAAAAAAAAAAAAATTGTGTAGGGCGTTCTATCTTTTAACAATTTCTCTTGTGAGATTTCTAAAATGAATGCAATAACTTGAGTACAATAAGTTTGCCAACACCCTCACAGTTATTAATACGTTCTTTAATCAGCTTTGTTTCTAAACTCTATTTCTTTTTTCTTAATTCGATGTAACTGAAAAAAGAGCGATTCATATTTCTAAGTTTAAAAATGTTTTCATTTATTAAGGTCGCTTGCACCCTACAAAGACAAATTCGAATTTACGAATGATATTTTGTCTTCGTTTTTTTTTCCAAAAACGGGTTCTGAGCTCTTTATAAAGCACTCTCCGCCTTTGTGATCGAAGTTTGCTTTCAGTTTCAAAACAATAATTAGTAATTTAATGGCGCGGTTGATTGCTTCAATTAAAATTAGGATACAATAATGAAATACTACAATAATACAAATAATATCAAGTAAGTGTCTGATTTTCCTAAATATTCTTGTTATTCAAATAGTAACTTTAGTTATATGCAAAATATTTTGCATGAAAATGAGTTGCCATGTAAGCAATATAATACTCAAGAGTGTCTACTATCCTTTATGTTGCCTTAGAAACTTCAGTAATTCTATAATATTAGTGTTGTTTTCTTGGAAATTTTATTATATAAGTTTAAAATTTGCAATAATTTATTTTTATGCTAGTTCTTCTGTTTTTTTATTGTTAATCTTAAATTCTATATATTATTTTTAAAAATATATATAATTAAGAAGCAACTGCTGTTAATTTTTTAGAGAGTTATTATTTTATTTTTATTATTTTTATTGTGAATTTTAATACATTAAAAAAGCTTGTTATTTTTTTAATTACAGCTACACTAGAAAGCATAATTTTATTTGATGAAAAATAAACCTTTTAATACACTAAGTTTAGTTAATTTTCTGATAAGAAATGTTCAGAATTTTACAATAAAAGTGTTTTAAAATGAAATAAAAAAATATATACATTTTGTATTATTTTTTTTATTATATTAATAGTTTATTATTTAATTATGATAAGTTTATTATTCAATTTAATCAGTAAATATCAAATCTAAGAAATAGCTTTAAACAGTGATGTAAAAGGTACAAAACAATCAAGAACAGTATTGTTTGAAAACAGCTTGTGTATATTGAATGATATAAGTCTTGTAAGCATTCAGAAAACAGTTAATAGCTATTCTATATGAGATGAAATCACAAAAGCAGAAATTAACTGGGCTTAACAGTTGTATCCCTCTGCGAATACTATAGATCTTTTACTAATATAGAAAAAAAATTTCAAGAAATGTTTTCTGACAGTAAAATAACTTAGCAGTTCAAGCTTGAAAAGATAAAGTTTACCTATATCATAACTCACAGTATTGCCCTTTAATTTAATGATGTTCTTCTAAAAACCATTTTAAAATTTAATTTTTTGTGCATAATGTTTGACAAGGCACTTAATGAAGTAAAGATTGCATTAGTTTTCTGGTTGTTGTAGTCACTAAATTAAAAAAAAGTTAAGTTATAAAGGGGAAAAAAAAAGAACAACAAAAGGAACTGTATGAAAAATGATGGCTATGCAGTTAATAAAAGAGTTAAAGGCTAAAAAACCCAGAATAAAAAAAGGATATTAAAAGGCAACAGTTGCTATTAATTTATTATTATCAATTGATAATATATTTCACCCATAATAACATAAGCAATTGCCTTTGATATCACTATTTGTAACAAGAAAATGTTTTATTCTTCATTGAAAAATAAATACCCCTAAAGCACAGACAAGATGTGGCGAAAAGCTTTTAAGCCATAATTTATTAAATATAAAAAATTTTAAAGTATACTTTAAAATTTGTGATTGAAGAAAGTTAACTACTTTTAAATTTTTAGCTATAGATAAATGTTTCTAACTACCATTATAACCGTAGTTAGAACCTTGTCATAGTGAAGATATGACTCTTTACTAAGCAAAGTTTTACTTTGTTTAGTAAACCAGTTTTAAGTGTAAAAAAACAAGTTGTTTGTCAATTATCGTAATAATTTGGCCAGTACTGTATAACACAGCATGCTAATAAACTTTTTATTATAAATTATTCAATTTTTTTAATATTATTAACTATATTCATACATTCATTAAATGACCATTAAAGTCTCCTCCATAAGCTTTCTTCTTATGGTGTATCTGGAAACATCTTTAAGATTATTGAATCCTTCTTTTCCAATCCTAGTATAAAAGTTGTCCTTGATGGACAGCACTCTTCTTCTTATTCTGTAACCTCAGGGGTTCCCCAAGGTTCAATCCTTGGCCCTATACTCTTTTTAATTTACATTAACGATCTTCCAGATATTCTCACATCTAAGGTGGCATTGTTCGCTGATGATACTACCATTTATTCTTGTCACGATAAGAAGCCAACTCCCTCTGATTGCTTGCAGGGGGCATCTGAGCTCGAAAAGGATCTCACTTCTGCTACAGCATGGGGCTCGCAGTGGCTGGTAAACTTTAATTCAGATAAAACTCAATTTTTTTTGGCCAATCGTTATCGCAATAATTTAGACCTTCCTATATTTATGAACGGTAATGTACTCGATGAGTCTCCTACCCTTCATCTTCTAGGATTAACTCTTACTTCTGATCTTTCTTGGAAACCTTATATCAAATCTGTTGCAAAATTAGCATCTGCTAAAGTTGCTTCTCTTTATCGAGCTCGTCACTTTCTTACTCTGGATTCTATTCTCTATCTCTATAAATCTCAAATCCGGCCTTGTATGGA